CGAGAGCGTATTTCTTTTTAAAACCGCTGGCAACGCACCTGTGACTCCTCTGGTGTTTCGAGTGTCCATGAGCGGCGCTGATCGCTTACCGTCAGGTGATCCGTCTGTTCGTTTGCATCCTAATCCATAAAAAAAGAGATTCTTTCGACAGCCTATACGGGATATGCATTGATTTTTTTTAAATAACAAACATTTTACTAAGCTCCTTATCATAATATCAACCGCTAGACGTCCACTGCGTCACACAGGCTTTCCCCAATGACTTCCTGATCTCATTAATTAAAGCAACTTGCAGATAAGTGAATATTAAGTTAAAATACATAACTCAATTTAACTTTTCATCACAAAACTAAGCACCAATCCATCTGCCTTACGTTACTGTAACTATTGCTTAACTACAGTCACGAGTGACGCCGGGTCGCAACACTATAGTGCGATCTGGGCCACTATTATTTACTTTCTAAATGACACGAACAAATTCCTGTGTTTAACTCTGTAATAAGTGTTTTCCGAGAGCATCCATTGTGTAATCTAAATGTAAAATACTGCATTGAAATTACTTGGTTTTAGCATATATTTTTTATTTTAACTGACACTGCAACTAAGTGTCGAATAGGGCAACGTTATCCTGTAAAATTTCGGTGACTAACTGCGATCTGTTTTGTTTCGCAATGGCAGAAACCTCCTTGGAAGGAGATCCTCAGCAATCTTAATTTATTTTATGGAATAATCCAGTATATGAGCAGACGGATCTCCTAGGCAGCCTTTTGGGGATTAGAAATGTGAGCATTTTTGGGGATTTAGGCGTTGGGGAGATTGGGGAGGGGCCTCTGATAACCTCACTCACAAGTCACACGACAAAACACAACGCAAGTGTTGTTTTATGAGATCGTAGTATCAATCCGGGCAAGCCAGCCCATTTCTGAAGAAGCTTGATTCTCCCACTGATTGCATGCCTGCATTATTTTGCCAAGTTGTTACATCATCTATATGGGATCCATTTAATTACTAACGATCCTTTAATGAATTCGGAATAGCCATGTTCTATATGCCCCTTTCTTTTTTAAGAACCTCTCAAATTCCTTCAAAATGTTATCTTATCTTATACTACTAGGTATTATATAAAGCGGAAGAGTTTGTTTTTTTGTTTGTTTGTTTGAACGCGCTAATCTCCGTAACTACAAGTCTGATTTGAATAATTATTTTTGTGTTGGATAGTGCATTTATCGAGGATGGATATAGGTTATAAAACATCATGCTACGACCAATAGGAGCTGAGCAGAGCGCGTGAAATCGCGCGGAAGTAGCTAGTGTAATCTATTCATACTTCAACTGTAATAAACACTATCCACAAATTTAATTACATACTATATCACAAATAGATAGAAGTGCACTCATTGCCAATCTAATGACATAGCCTCTATTAAAACTAGTCGAGTTGCTCGTCAAATAATTACGTGAGTAAGCCGAAAACATAATAATTAATTTAGTATATCTCACGAAAGTTATAATACAATCTAAAGACAGTCTAACATTAAAACAATGTAACAAAATTTCATCACAATCTAAGACCATAGTGATCGCAAATTCTCATTGGAACAATCAATAATTTGCAATTGACAAACTCCTTGCCCTTTGCCCAAACCGTGGTCTAAATTATTTGAAGACAATAGAGCACACGGCTTCACAGTCAGCTGAGTACAATGTAGGACTTATCGTAAGATTGAACATAATTTGTGACTTAATGAACGTTTTGTATTGTACTGGAGTAGGTGAGTGTGGTGTTACTTGTAGCGGATAGCGGGTAAAGCATATGCTGGTTTGAGAGCGAGTTTTAATTAACAAGTCTTGGTGAGAAATGCTTGAAAAATGGTTTTTAATATTTCTTTTCATATAAATTTGAGAATAGTAACAGCGAAGTGCAATGACATTGCAAACATAATTGTTTTGTAGAGATAGAAATGAAGTCGTTTATGACACTAAAATGTTTAAATATTTTCGTATAGACAATTTTACGTACAATCAAGTTTAATGTCCTCTAAAGATAACGTAAAACAGGACGAAACCAGAAATACTCTGAAAAACGACTAAAGAAATCATCATGATTATATTATCATTACAAAAGAATTTAAACCCTATTTAATTGTTAACCAACTCATTAAAAGTAACTTGTATGGAAAACACGTAGTCCTAATGAGACATCTTTAGTGGAACATTTTCAACCCGCTTCCGCTGCAACTGTGACCAAACTTCACAAAGTCCTAATGAGCGACTGCAAGTCTCCATCCACGCGGAAAGATGTTACAACATCCATTGTTCCAACAGAATGTGCTACAAATTATTACCAGACAGTTACAGACTGTCAGACGTCCCTGGAAGTGTAGAGATTAATATCTACACTCTACAACAGTCACTTAGTCTTAATTAATTTAATATTATAAGCAACCTGTCTCGTTGGTCGAGTGTTTGCAAGTGCGACTGCCGGGCAAGGGGTCTCGGGTTCGATTCCCGGGTCGGGCTTAGTATACCGGGTTTTAAAAAAAAACTCAGTAATAGCACGGAGTCTGGTATTGTGCCCGGTTTAAGGCAATCGGCTTACCCCCTATTACATGGGACTCATAACATAAATAGTGAAAAGTGGGTGTTACATTGTACAGTAGCATAATGTGCACCTTTGCCTACCCCTTCCCCCTTGGGATAAAAGGCATGATGTTATGTAATGTTATTATAAGCAATCACTTCATTAATTGTATTAGGTCATCTTTTGAAAAGAATTAATCAATGAGCAATCAATTTAGTTTAATTGCAATCTTAGTTTTGTTTTTTATTATGTTGCGACTGTCTATTGTTTATAATTCATTTACTGTTCAATAGCAACAAAGCTTATCCCATTTGATGGTTAGCTGACATCGTACCATGTGTAACACCAGAAATATCTGATGAGATGCGGACAACCTAACCGGTTACCGGGGCTCTAACTTAAAGCAGGATTAGAAACGGCATGGTTTTTAGTCAGTAGAAGTATGATACTCCCTCTTACCTCACCCGGGGCGAAAGACGCTATTGTATAATTCTCCAAACTCAAAATAAGGGGAATCCCAAATGCGTTGCAGATCAAACACATTCACACACAATCTATATATCTCTTTGTATAATGCATTCAGATCCGTCCTGCTGTTAATATTTTATAAATATTAGTAGTAACGATGGTGAGAACCTAAATCACTGCCCATCCCGCTGTTAGAATATCACAACATCTTTCATAAACCCTTCCATTATTTTGATTGGAAGTGAAATTAAAATAAATGTTCAAAACTAAACATCTAGGTTTCGTGTTATGTTTAATTATATATAGGTTCTAGTGAACATGCAATGGTTTAGCTAGAGACCTGGGACAGAGGTTCTCAAACTTCAATCGATGCTAGGACCATCGATGTAACTTAGTGTGATCTTTTATTAAAATACTACTGTTTAAAACATGCTCGACTGCCTCGTTGGCCGAGTGGTCGTAAGTGCGACAGCCGGGCAAGGGGTCTCCGGTTCGATTCCCGGGTCGGGCAAAGTATTACTGGGTTTTTAAAAAAATCTCAGTAATAGCACGGAGTCTGGAATTGTGCCCGGTATATGGCAATAGGCTCACCTCCTATTACATGGGACTCATAACATAAATAGTGAAAAGTGGGTGATACATTGTACAGTGGTATAATGTGCACCTCTGCCTACCCCTTCGGGGATAAAAGGCGTGATGTTATGTTATGTTATGTAAAACATGCTCCTAGACTAGAATTTAGACGGATATACCACGTTTTTCGTTTCCATCAACGGTCAATTATTTGAAATTGAATTAAAATAATTATCAACAATCTATAACAATCCACTATTAGTGCTCGACTATGAGCCTACTCTTACAGAAAGGGGTTTGTTACAGTCTAAATCAAATTAGTGTAGTTTGACATCCTGATTATAAAGAGCACAGTTTAATTTTTCAATCATTTACTCAGTGATACCACGGCCTCACAGAACACCGCCGTGGGACAACGCTTGCGTTTTGTGAGTGAGGTTACCGGATGCCTCGTTACCCCCTCTCCAGTTTTCCTAATCCCTGAATCCCAAATAGTTCTCAAATTCCCAATCCCCAAAAGGCCGATGACGCAATTGTAACGCCTCCAGTGTTTCAGGTGCCAATACTCGACGCCGATTGCGTACCACCAGGTGATCCGTCAGCTCGTTTACCGGCTTATCGCATAAAAATTGTTGTTTATGTTATTTTAGGAAACCTACTCTTTCGTTTTATAAACACCTTTTTGATGTTCAATAGAAATTCCGTTACTTAAAAATTTTGAGAACCACAGACCAAACTAACAAACTTCGTGTGAGCACGACTGAACCGGCTTAACAGGAGATAACTGCCTTCAATTGTCACGCTCAACCTAAGTAGAACTATAAGGAGAGACGAGTAGTGCACGATTCTAGATACAGAAAGCTTTGTGGGCCTGATTGATTGATTACATTCTAGATAGTTATTCTTACTCTTAAAAGTTAAAGTGTCAAAGTCATTACACACTTTTTTTGGGGGAAAAATAAAATGCGTCTAGCGTTTTGGTAAAAATGACTGGGGCGTGTGGGATTTCTACCTTACTAAAACCCTCCCCGGTGGCCACCATCCGTACCTGAAGGAAGCACCGGGTCCTCTTAGTAGAACAGCCCCGGAGCCTCCACTGTACAACGCCTGTTACGGCACCGGGAGAAGTCATTAGATGACTTTCCCCCTAAAAAAAATAAAGGTAGATTAAAAAATGTGCCATTGTATAATATTCTATATGGACACCTCTTCAAATAGCAATTACAGCAGTTACAGCATATACTTCCTAATGGTAATTAGCTACTAGACTAGCACGGAAATCAAACCGAAACATGTTCCATATCCAAGAATCGAATTCTAAAATTTTAGTCTGTACCAGAAATACCTAGTCACTTAACATTACTCTCCTTCTATTCCAGATGTGGCTCTCCAGCATCGTATCTTCAACCCTGTTCGTGATGGCGATGTCAGCAGGCAACGAGTACCTCCCTCCCAGCAAGGGTTACAACTACGAACCTCCTTCAATCCCATTCCCCACCAATAATAATGGAAATAAGGTAAAATTAACCACCATTTTTTTACCGGACTGCGTCAAATAAGAGGGTTATGGAAAATATAGATTTTTTTCTGATAACGCCATTGAGAGTCGCAAATGTCTTCAATTCAATTTCCAGATGGGTATAATTGAGATCATCAGTACCTATATTTATTTGGGAAGTGTCAGCATTGACTGAATGCCTGCCTATCTCCCAAAGTGATATGTAAAGCTGACTGCACGGTTGGCGCGGTGGCTGGACAACTGGCTGCCGCGCAACGTGGAGCGGGTTCGATTTCCGCACGGAACAATTCTTTGTGTGATCCACAGATTGTTGTTCCGGGTCTGGGTGTCATGTGTATGTGAACTTGTATGTTTGTAAACGCACCCACGACACAGGAGATAATCTTAGTGTCCCCCACACTACAACGTTCTAAAAAAAAAACAAAAAAAAGTAACCATTTTGTTAAGTTTTACACAAAAGTTCGTTCGTATTTTAGGTTTAAGAGATATGATCTTGAATATTATGATGTTAAATGTAATTTATATCATTTTAAATAAGCAACCATGGACCAAATACCTACAAAAATGCCTTGACTTTTTCAGCAACCAACCCCACCGACCATCAGGCCGAACCCGACTCCGCAGAGGCCGTACCTCCCACCTGTGCAGCCTACTCCAGGCCCAGGACCCGCGCCGACTCCAGGAGTAAGTACCTAAGTCTTTGCGCCAGGATTTTATCTTGAATCGTGGGTGCATTTACAAACAGATAATTTCATATACACTTCACAAATAGACCTGGAATAACAATTTGGGGATAACGTAAATAAAAAAAAATCGCGCGACACATCGTGCAGAAACCAGTTACCCGGCCACTATGTAACAGTCCACTCAAAGTCTTCGTGACCTTTACAGTCTTAGGTCTTTATATCAAATTATTTAATTCAAATTATTTAGTCGTTTTTTACCACCATTTCTACCAAACTGCTTCAGGCCATTAGGTGCTGTAATGTGCTATACCTACCCCTTCGGGGACAAAAAGGCGTGATGTTATGTGTAAGTCTCGCCTAACAGTACAAGAAAGTCAGGTGTTCCTGGTGTGATTCCTAATGGTGGCCGAGAGCTTTCCATCAGGCGATCCGCATGATCGTTTACCGGCTTATCCCATAAAAAAAGTACAACAACACAAGTTTTGGGGATCAGGAATTTGGGGATTCAAGGAAATTGATGGGGGAGGCAATTGGAACACCGGGCCTATCGTGCAATAGGGAAGTGGTTAGAGTTATACCATTGGATATTCAATTTTTGACTTGATGATGATTTTTGGCTAAAGTATCGCCATCTGATTCAAAAACGTAACCCCCACTGAGCAGTTCCTCGCTCATTCTTCTCCATTCGAATCTACATTTTGGAACGAGCACCTAACTTCAATGACGGACACACTGACAGACTATTATTTATTGTGTATTCGTTGACGTTTCAAAAGTACCAAATTATTGTTTAATTGAAATAAATACTTTGAGTTTGATTTTGAAGTGGGTAGTAAAAGTAATAACAAGTGAAATAATATTATTTATTGAATTATTCATCATCGATGTAATGAAGCGGCATCGGTCCAGGACTTGGCTTCAAGTACTGCTGAGTTATATCTTTATTTGCTTCATTTTCATCTGAAAACATTTCTCATATAAATATATAAGTTTATTATTAATTGACTGAATGCGTCGCTGGCTGAGTGGTCGCAAGTGCGACTGCCGGGCAAGGGGTCTCGGGTTCGATTCCCGGGTCGGGCAAAGTATCATTGAGTTTTTAATAATTTTCAGTAGTAGGACGGAGTCTGGAATTGTGCCCGGTATGTGGCAATAGGCTCACCCCCTATTACATGGAACTCATTCATAACATAAATAGTGCAAGTGGGTGTTACAAGGTACAAATAGCTTCACTTTTAATTGTCTTTTTGTTGACGTTCGAAAGTGCCATGCTGGCCTAATTGAAATAAATGATTTTGACTTTGACTTTAACAGTGTCATAATGTACACCTCTGCCTACACCTTCGGGATAAAATGCGTGAAGTTATGTTATGTTTATTATTGTCTTCTGCCACCGGATTCGCATCACTATATATTATAAAACAAAGTCGCTATCCGCGGTCTGTCTGGGCTCGCTGCCATCGCAGCGGTAAGTCCCCTCTTTGAGGAGTGGCTTGAGAGACGCTACGGCGTCCTCACCTACCGCCTGACGCAGGTCCTCACCGGACATGGCAGTTTCGGGAGGTACCTGTGTCTGATGGGGCGGGAGGAAACGCCCGGGTGTCATCACTGCGAGGACCGCCCTGAGGACACGGTGGAACACACGGTGGGAGAATGCCCTTCGTGGGCTGAGCACCGCCGTGTCCTCAGGGAAGTGATCGGCGATGGCGACCTCTCGCGTCCGGGCCTAGTGCAGGCCATGATGCGGAGCGAGGGGGATTGGGATGCCGTCTCCTCCTTTTGCGAAGCAGTCATGCTAGCTAAGGAGGAGGCGGGACGCGTGAGGCAGCGAAGCGCTGCCTCCTCGCAACCCAGCCATCGCGAAGGACACACCGGGCGTCGGGGATCGCGGGACGATCTCCGGCCACCGTAAGCGCGGGCCTGCGGACGGCGAGCATGGGTGGCTCCCCGTCCGACCAGAAACAGACCCGAGCGTACGGCGCGTCGCGTTCCGCGCGCGCCTCAAAGAGCCATCAGACCACCACAGATGGGGCCCAATAGGGCCGATGCCGATTCGGAGTCGCGGAGAACCTAACGGGTAACCGGGGCTCCGGCTCGACGTGCAGGAGAAGGAACGGGGTGGTTTTTAGTCAGTAAGAGTCTGACACTCCCTCCCGCCTCACCCAGGCGGGGGCAGTCATTCGATGATTTTCGCCCCTAAAAAAAAAAAAAAAAAAATCCGCGGTCTGTCCGTCCTTACGCAACGATATTTGATGCGGTTTTTTTAATAGAATAATTGAAAAAACTGCCAAACCTTGATCGGGCCATCCTCTCGTCTCAAAATATTCATCTAAAACAAATAATACAGATTAATTATGTTTAAATGCTGTAATGAGAACTATTCTACCAATCAAAACCCTTTCGTTTGAGATCCATAATGCCTAATGGAGGTAGTTGTGGAAAAAACAGATTATATTGTATGGTGATCTAGATTCTGAGTGTACCAAATATCAGATCGATCTGTCGTCAGGAAGGGGGTAGAATTCCAATTTCTAAAGATACAAACAAACTGGGCAAACTAAATGAAACCATTTATAAAGGAATATTAAATGTTAATGAATATTATATGTTAATGTTATGACTGCCTCATTGGTCGTGTGGTTGCAAGTGCGATTGCAGGGCAAGGTGTCTCCGGTTCGATTCCCGGGTCGGGCAAAGTATTTCTGGGTTTTTTTAAAATCTCAGTAGTAGCACGGTGTCTGAAAATGTGCCCGGTATATGGCAATAGGCTCACCCCCTATTACATGGGACTCATAACATAAATAATGAAAAGTGGGTGTTATATTGGACAGTGGTATTATGTGCCGTAGGCAATGTGCACCTCTGTCTACCCCTTCGAGGGTAAAAGGCGTGATGTTATGTTATTATATATTAAATCATTCTTTATCTCTTATATGCCAGTGGCCAGCAGGTCAAGCTACACGAATCTATAAAATTTCATTAGAATTTCGATCTTACATCTAAACAATATAATTATAAAAAATCCCAATATCCCATGCACGCATGACCATGTACCAATTTCTTTTCTGTTTTATTATTATTTGAATAAGGTATAACTGTTTAAATACTCTGAAAATAAAATATAGTAAATTTATGTACCAACCGCTGTCTGAAAGCGAAAAAAGAACTATAAATAACATACTTAATGTGAAAGAATTAAATAGGTAACATCCGAATACTGAAATACTGCCTCGTTGGCCGAGTGGTCGCAAGTGCGACTGCCGGGCAAGGGGTCTCGGGTCGGGTAAAGTATTACTGAGTTTTTAAAACATTCTCAGTAGTAGCACGGAGTCCGAAATTGTGCCCAGTATACAGCAATAGGCTCACCCCCTATTACATGAGACTCATAACATAAATAGTGAAAAGTGGGTGTTATATTAGACAGTGGCATTAAGTGCCGTAATGTGCACCTCTGCCTACCCCTTCGGGAATAAAAGGCGTGATGTTATGCGTATGTGTGTGTACTGAAGGGCTACTCAATTTTATGCTGTGCTTAAACATCATGCCGTCTCTGTTATTTTACAAAGAATTTGTAGAGACAGTAATATACTTAAGCGCGACTTAATATTGAGAGTATTTGGAAAAGACCAAATGTCGTGTCAATAGATTTTCGACCATATTACAAACCCATAAGAAAATAATTAAATTAACTTACATGGAAAGTATCCTTCACTTACTGAAATTAAACAATACTTATTTTATTCTCCTTACTTAGGTCATAATTTTATTTATATTTTGTAGTAGAAAGTGTTTATAGTTATGTCTATTTTATATAACCCCAACTGCAAAGGAAAGCCCAGTAATGCTGATGCCGATTCGTAGCCGCGGAGGAATTCACGGGTAACCGGGGCTCCGGCTCGAAGTGCAGGAGTAGGAACGGGGTGGTTTTTAGTCAGTAGGAGTCTGACACTCCCTCTCCCCTCAACCAAGGTGAAAGAAGTCATTGGATGATTTAGCCCACTCAAAATAAAATTGTCAAGCAAGAGATCTCGTGTTAATTTCCCAAGTCAAAATAATATCACGGAAGACATACTCATATCTTCATCATCATCATCATCAATATCCTATAAATGCCCTCTTCTCACACGGAGAAAGTTTGAGCTTTAATCGCCACGCTTGCTCAATGCCGGTCGGCGATTACAAACTTGTAATAAAAATTATAAGCTCAGGTTTCCTTACGATGTTTTCCTTCACCGTTTGTAAGTGGTGTCTAGATAATCTTAGAAAGTACATAAAACACGGAATAAGTCACATTGGTACTTGCCGTTGGTAGGTTTCGAACCCGCACCCACATGCATCATAGTCTTAAACCTATGGGCGACCATGACAACAGACGACGATAAACGAAGGCGGTCGTCGGATGGGCGGAATGAAAATCGCGGGCGCGCCGCGTCCATGTCGCGGAATGCTGCTTTATAAGCCTTTAGCATGGCTTGAAACTAGTCGAGTATCTCGTCAAATAATTCCGTGACTAAGTCGAACAATATATGAATATAAAGTGTTATATAGCTAATTGACTTACATGTCGGTATAGGCAGAGATGTGGTACAATTTGTAACTCTTGACACTTTCAGATTGGGGTTTAAGGTGATAAGGATTCCCTCCCCACTATCCGGATCTAAAAGAACAAAAGGGTTTTTAAATACAAACTTAATTTAAAATTACCTTTATAGATGGGTTAACAATATCGTGATTGACCATAGATATCATTTATTTAAATAAAAATGAATTTCCGTTCATTAAAGTCTCGCTGAAACTTACGAAAACGATAAACCAATTTGGTTTATTCTCGCCTTGAATTGTTCGTAGAAGTCCCATGTCGGAATACTGAAACGCTACTCAATTTTAAGTCGTGCTTAAGTATAGTTCTATCTCTACAAATTGTTTGTAAAATGACAGAGATGGCACGATATTTGAGCACGACTGAAAATTGAGTAAAGTTTTAGTATTCCGGCACCA